GGGGGGGGGGGGGGGGGGGGGGATAAGAATGGAGAAATAAGCATCTGATTCTCAAAATTTTAGTAGCAATTTCCAAGGATGAAGAAAACAAGGACGACCAATTTTTTCCCAATTTCTGAATCGCTGCTTAAAACCTAACCCACTTTAGCTCACTTTTATCCAACACGTAACTAAAATTTCATTGAAATTTTTAGAGAAAGACATTTTTAAACAGCTTTTTAAAAAGTTTATTCTAATTTTAATCCATGAGTTTGTCAGCCATGGAAAACACTTCAGCATCTTGATTTTTTAAATTCTGTTCATCTTTTGTTTCTTTTTACTGGTTTTTGGACCGACAAATATTACAGGAGAGCATGTATTTTGTATCTTATTGCTCCTCCTAAGAATGCTCTTAATAAACCTACTTAACACTCCCCCTGAAGCCAGCATAATGTAATTCTTTCTCAAAAAATGTATAAACTGCAAGTTATTGCCCCATTACAGTGTGCCTTTATATCTCAGCATACCCTCCTATCCAAAAAGTTTGTATTGATGCCATCAAGAACACATGGGTTAAAACTCTTAACTTGGACTTCTCTTCTTGTGCTTTATTAGAGCTGAAGAATAGAACTGTATCTGTTTTAAATGATGTCATTCTGTGGTCCACATATGCACATATGATCAAGTCATCATATGGCCTGTATAGTGCATTTGGAATAATTTGGGATTATTTTTGCTGATACAACATTTCTGTTGTCCTCTTGTTAGAAACAAAACCACAGGATGTTTCTAGATCTGAATTCACAAAAACATTCCTTGATCTTGTGCATGCAACCACCTGCCCTCATCTTTACAACTCTTCCACCATTCCTAGTAGCAAACACGAGTAGCCAGGAGTATGGACTTCTCTCCCATTTCCCCAGTACACATACACTTGGGGGTAAAAAGATTAGGAAGAAGGAACTGTGTGTGGCCGATGAAGGAGAAGTGTTCACAGACAGGCTGGAGCATTATACTCACCTGGGGAATGAATGGCTGGGCTGTTCCTGTTTTGGAGAAGATACCTACCTTAACCTGTCTGTAGGTGGTGAAGATGCTTGAGGCAAGAAAGCGCCTGGGGCAGTCAGTGCCCCTCTCTGTGGGATGCCCGCTCCTGCCTCTTGCTTAGTGTGAGGAATACTTACCCATCAGGGATAGTATTCTTCTTTACCATGCTGAAAGCAGGAGCAGGCAGAGCAGGAGGCAGCGGTGAAAGTGGGCACTGCAGCAAAGGAGAGAGAACCGCGCGGTTAACACGGTGCTAATCTCTTTCTCCATCAGTGGGCCTTTGCATAGGGCTGAGCCTCAAATAAAACAAATCCAGCAGCCAGCTGGGGCTTGAAGCCGTCCTGAACAAGTTCTGCACCTTGCAAACTAGCCTATTTCTCCACTGCTACAGCAAGACAAGAGGGAAAGACAACTCACCTCTCCTCTCCAGGTGATCACAAGAGAGAGAGGAGAGGCGGCAGGTTTCTCTGTAACTCTGGCAGCAGCGCTGCAGGCACGAAGATCTTCCTGGCAGTCCCTTCTGTCCCACTCTGCGGCTCGGAGCCGTCTATTCCGCCCTTGCGCTGCCCGTTAGAACCCGTCTCAACGAGAAGAACCTCCAGGCAGCTGCAAGAGGCGAGGCCGGCACCTCAGCAATGGAAGGACCATCACCTGCTCCCCCCTAACCTAGACCGGTCCGACCCCGCTGGACGCCGGGCGCCCGCCGACCTTGGGGGCCCCGGGCTAGGGGGGGCGAGGGGAGCGGCCCCCATGGCCCCGCTGCACGGATGACGCTGATGAGGCTGCCCCTCACAGCCGCATGTCCCCGGGGCAGGACCGGCTGCTGGGCCGGCCCAGGGCTCCACAGCGGCTGAGCTCGGGGCAGGGACAAACAAGAGACCGGGGCGGGGGAAGGTCGCGGCCCGGCTGTGGAGGGAGGCGGGCGGGCTGTGAGGGGAAGGGGGAGGGCTGCAGACGGTGACAGGGAAGAGCCCGTGCGGCGGCGGGGCGGGGCGGAGAGGAGCGGGGCTGCGGGCGGCCCGTACCCGGACAGGATTTCCCTGGCGGAGGAAGGAAACGCTGGTGCGACACAGAACCTTCCCGAAAGGGCCGCGACTGCGCCTGCGCGACGGCGCCGGGGCGGGGAGGGGCGCGGAGCGCGGGGAGCACGGCCAATGGGGCGAGGGGCGGCGGCCGCTCCGCGCGTGCGCGGGCGGGGC